TCCGGAGACCTGCGTGAAACGATCCGAGAGATCGTGCGGGAAGAGCTGCGCAAGCTGTTGCCTTCGGCGCAGCCTCAAGTGGATTCGATCGCCGACATTGTGCGAGAAGAAGTTCGACAATCGCTTCAATTCCCCACGCACCGCTGCCCGAGCCGGAAGCTATGAGCTACGCCGCTGCACTGCGCCACAACGCTACTCCACGTCCACGCCAAAACGCCGCCCCATCGCACTTCCGTCAACAGACGCCCACCGCCGCCACCACCCCCACCGACGTCATACCGTTCGCCAGCGGCCCAGCGCAGTGCACCGAGGAAGACTGACGTCTGGCGCACCCCTGACCATCGCCCGCTCTGCTACCACTGCGGCGAGGCCGGACACACATACCGCCGTTGCCAGTACCGACAGATGGGATTGCGTGGCTTCGCCGTCAATGCACCGCGCCCACAGCCAGGAGAACGACCACGTGACACGCCGACTACCTGACAGGAACTCGGTGGACACCACGAAGCCCTTCGCGTTCACCGTCGCCCAGCCGCCGCACGTCACCCGCACCACCGACAGTACTCTGGCCCAACGCGGGGCCGGTCTCCTAGCCCGTATCCGGAGGAAACTAAGGGCAGCAACCGGTGGAGGTGCGGTTGCTGTGCGACGAACTACCGAAGATACTCCGACGACGACGACGCCGTGCCGGAGCTTTCCGAACACAACCGCCAACCAGGCTAAGCCCTGACGGCGAAAGCTCACTTACCGAAGGTGGCCTGACGACGCAACATGGAAGCAGCGGAACAAGTCGACACAGCCGTGACCCGACGCCACGCCCTAACTGTAACGCGAGACGGCGAATTAGCGACCTCGACGTTCTTATCGACGGCCAGAGTGTGACTGCTCTCGTCGATACTGGAGCCGACTATTTCTGTCATCAGTGGGTCGTTCGCCGCGAAGTTAAAGAAAGTTAGGACAGCTTGGAAAGGCCCTGAACTCCGCACAGCCGGAGGTCATCTCGTAACGCCTGCAGGAATCTGCACAGCGAGAGTCACCATTAACGGCCGTATTATATCCTACAGACTTCGTAGTCCTACAGCGTTGCTCGAGAGATGTCATCCTTGGCATGGACTTCTTATGCCTCCATGGTGCTGTCATCAACCTAAAAACAAAGTCGATAACGTTATCCACAGAAGAAGCACTACCCGCCGCGCACGCCGTCTAGACACCATGCCTTGAATGTGCTGGAAGAACAAGTCACCATTCCGCCTCGCTCAAGCGTCATTATTTCAGTCGGCGCTCCTGAATCACTGACTTCGAAGGCGTCGTTGAAGGCAGTCAGCATCTGTTGGTCACCCGAAATATTTGCGTCGCAAGAGGAATTGCAGAGTTGCGGGGAGGCAAAGCAACGGTTATGCTCACAAATTTCAGCAATGAGTACAAACATGTGAACAAAGGAACATTCAAGGCCCTGCTCCTGCAATACGAAGATTGCTTTTCGCCGTCATCGAAAATTCGGCAGACCCCAATCACGAAACATCGCATCATAACCGAAGAAAATGCCAGACCACTCCGTCAGAGTCCGTACAGGGTTTCGACGCGAGAACGTGAGGCCATCAAGAGACAAGTTGATGAAATGCTGCGGGATGATATTATCCAGCCGTCCAACAGCCCATGGGCATCCCCTGTGGTGTTAGTGAAGAAAAGGATGGGACCCTACGTTTCTGCGTCGATTATCGCCGCTGAACAAAATCCAAGAAAGGATGTGTATCCTCTCCCCACGAATAGACGACGCACTTGGATCGGCTCCATAACGCCAAGTACTTTTCGTCAATGGACCTCAAGACTGGCTATTGGCAAATCGAAGTCGACGAAAGAGACGAGAGAAGACGGCGTTTATAACACCGGACGGCCTCTCGAGTTTAAGGTGATGCCCTTCGGCCTTTGCTCAGCGCCTGCAACTTTTCAACGCGTTATGGATACAGTACTGGCAGGATTGAAGTGGCAGACTTGCCTTGTGTACTTGGACGACGTCGTCGTGTTTTCCTCGAGTTTCGACGAGCATCTTCGGCGCCTTGAAGCTGTACTTCAAGCATCAAGACGTCCGGACTCACACTGAAGCCAGAAAAGTGCAGATTTGCGTATGAGGAGCTCTTGTTTCTGGGGCACGTTTATCAGCAAGTCTGGAGTTCGTACCGATCCACGGAAAACAGCCGCCATCGCCGACTTCCCGCCGCCCACTGACAAGAAGGCCGTGCGCCGATTTCTGGGCCTGTGTGGCTTATTATAGGCGGTTCGGTGAAAAACTTCGCCCGCATCGCCAATCCTCTCCCTAACCTTACCAAGGCCGACGTGGAGTTCAAGTGGGAAAACGCCACAGGAACACGCTTTCCAGGAGCTAAAACATCGCCTCCAGACGGCCTCCGTTACTTGCCCATTGTCGACGAATTCGCCGAGACAGAAATACATACTGACGCAAGCAGCGTAGGTCTGGCGCCGTCTTGTGCAGAGGGCTGACGGACTTGAAAGGGTTATTAGTTACGCCAGCCGACGCTATCCAAAGCAGAAGCAAATTATTCCACAACAGAAAAGGAGTGCCTCGCCATCATCTGGGCTACGTCGAAATTTCGCCCCTACCTCTACGGCAGGCCCTTCAAAGTTGTGAGCGACCACCACGCCTTGTGTTTGGCTAGCCACCTTGAAGGACCTTCAGGTCGCCTCGCACGATGGAGCCTGAGACTTCAAGACTATGACATTACTGTGATTTACAAGTCCGGCAAAAACACTCCGACGCCGACTGTCTCTCTCGTGCGCCTGTCGACCAACCGCTACCCGACGGACCCGGATGACGACTACTTCTTGGGAACGATAACTACCGACGACTTCGCTGAACGACAGCGGGCCGACCCGGAACTTAAGGCCCTAATAGAATACCTCGAAGGCAGGACCGCCGAAGTCCCGAAAGTATTCAAGCGCGCACTTGCGTCGTTTTTTCTACGAAACGGGTCTTCTACAAAAGAAAACTTTTCACGCTTCGGGCTAAATATCTCCTTGTGGTGCCTTCAGCTCTGCGACCAGAACTCCTGCAGGCCTGCACGACGATCCGACGGCAGGGCACCTCGGTGTTTTCTCGCACGCTCGCGAGGATACAAGAAAGGTACTATTGGCCACGTCTTACAACCGACGTCACTCGTTATGTGAGGACATGCCGGGACTGTCAGCGACGCAAGACACCGCCGACAAGGCCAGCGGGACTCTGCAGCCAATTGATCCACCTTGCCGACCTTTTCAGCAGATTGGTAGGACCTATTGGGGCCGTTCCGACGTCGGCTTTCGGAAACAAGTGGATCGTGGTAGCCACCGACTACCTCACCCGCTACGCCGAGACAAAAGCCCTGCCAAAAGGCAGTGCATCCGAGGTAGCTAAGTTCTTCGTCGAAAATATCGTCCTACGTCACGGCGCCCCGGAGGTCCTTATCACCGACAGAGGAACGGCATTCACTGCCGACTTAACTCAAGCGATCTTGGCATACAGCCAAACAAACCACCGCCGGACGTCAACGTACCACGCACAGACCAACGGCCTCACCGAGCGGCTTAACAAGACGATCGCCGACATGCTTTCAATGTACGTCGATGTCGAACACAAGACGTGGGATGCCATTCTTCCGTATGTGACCTTCGCATACAACACGGCGGTGCAGGAGACGACGCAGATATCTCCATACAAATTGGTGTACGGAAGGAGCCCGGCAACGACGCTCGATGCCATGTTACCCAATGTCACCGACGAAGAAAACCTCCATGTGAGCGAGTACCTTCATCGCGCCGAAGAAGCCCGACAACTTGCGCGGCTCCGTATCAAGAATCAACAGACGACCGACAGCCACCGTTACAACCTTCGACGACGCTTCGTGGAATACCAGCCCGGTGAACGTGTTTGGGTGTGGACGCCGATACGCCGACGTGGACTAAGTGAAAAGCTTCTGCGACGGTACTTCGGACCGTACAAGGTGGTTCGACGTCTCGGCCCACTTGATTACGAGGTTGTCCCCGACGGCATCACGAACTCTCAACGACGCCGATCGCGACCTGACGTCGTCCATGTCGCACGCCTCAAGCCGTTTCATGCGCGTTAACAAACTGAAACAGTGTTTTTTTGTGTTATTGTTGTATTGTAATTTATTCATTGTACTTTCTTGCATTATTATTGTACCTTCATCTTTAGTTAAAGCATCGAGACGATGCCTTTTTTCAGAGGGGGGCAATGCCACGTTCCATTTCAGAAGTTCTTGTTGTCGTTCCGAAACACCACACGATTCTCGGCGCAAACCGCGCCTGCAGGTTTCGAGAAGGTTCCGGACTGTAGTAGATCATTTGGATAAGATCACGCCCACTTTGCGAATGGTACAGATTGTTCTGGAACCTACGCCACCGCCAGCGATAACGCTAGAACATTCGACGGCAAGGGTATAAATGCCGACGCGCTTTGCCGCTTGTCAGTTGTTGATCGAAGGCCGACGCTCCGTTCGCCGCTATCAGTCTGAGACTGCTATCTGTGCGAGACTGCTGCTGTAATTGGACTTTCTGTTTACCGGGCACAGGTTCGCCCAAATAAACAGTTAAATTCCAGACAAGAAGTCTCCTGTCTTCAGCCACGTCACGACCCCGTGACAATATGTTGGCATTATCTTCGAAGCCACGAAATACCGGTACTTCAGATGGTTCCAAATATGGTATTGATGCCAGCTGGGGCCCACAGGTCAATTACGGAAAGTGGTGAAGCTCTCACGAGAGTTGTGTAAGAGCACGCAAAAGCTCCGCGGCGCTCTCGTGCGAGTCGCATAGAGAGGCAGGGCCTGCACCTGCTCCGGATGCAGTGGCTCTGGCACTCACAGTAGTACAATTCGTGGGCAAGGATGCGTGGACGGCGTCCGTGGGAAGCTGATGTGAAAACTAAGTTCTGGTCATAGGATCTATGCCACAGGGAGCGTTAATCGCTGTTCCAGACAAAAGGAGCCTGCGTGATGTCTTGACGCGAAGTGGTATCATGGCACCTTCCAAAGAAGGTCGAACCGCCAAGGAGGGCTTGACCTCTTCCCCAGACGGTTCTCGTAGCGCCAACCAATGAGTGGGTGACGAGGAGGCTTCGACAGGCTTGCGGTTTCCATACCCGAGGAAAAGAAGGCGGCGTTCCTGGACTGGCAGTTCCGCAAGGCCGAAGATGGACGAAAGCAGGTTCAGGTGTTGTATTCTGCCATTGTCATGTACTAATTGGAGAAATAAGACAACACCTGTATGCTAGGCCGGCTGTTCTTAATCTCCTCTTCTTCGTCTGCTTTGTGCTAGCCGAGCTCACGACAGTCCCAAAACGCTGCTCTTGCTTCTTATACTGTGTACAAAGTCAAATACAATAAATAAATGCTTTTACTTCACTACTGCTGCATAAACAATGGTGCTGAATAAAACAAAGGGTTGATTAGGTAAAGGTAAGACAAAATTGAAGAATTAATTGCTAAGTCATATCGAAGAATCTTATTCAGTAAATGTCTTTCATTATTCATTAATAATACCTAATTCCTGCAATTGAACAATATGTAAATATTAGTGTTTGAAGCCTGGAAATCAAACCCATAGCAAATTAACAATCTTCAAAACTGCTTCAAGACCCATGTGAGTCTGCTGAAACTAAGAAAAAGAAGATTGTTTTGGCAATGCAACATTTATGATAACTTAGATAAATGTTTGACAACAATTTCAAGAAACTTGACAGAACAGGTTTCAAGAAAACAGCTATACATTTATGTGCCACCCTTTGTGTAAGGCTGCATAAAAAGTGGTACATATGTGGTCCAGCATTTTCAGGTGGTATAAAAAGAAAAAAATTATTTTACAAAGAGCATTATAATATTTATAAAGCTGTTTACTTGACCATTCAATGCGCTATAGAACCTGGCATCTTCAAAAATAGCTACTGAGCATTAATGCCAAGCGCACATGAAGGCATACATCAGCCTATGTGATTTGCTGACTACAGTACTTAGCTGCTCTTAAAGCAGACTACAATTGATGTCATTTATGCCAGTAAGCCTTTCGCTTCAAAAGACATGGAAATGCTGCATATGTCGAACTGCATCTGTGCAATAACTGCCCAACCAAGACAAACACCACAAGCCAAAATCAAGCCAAAAAATGGACTAACAAGGGCAGGAAAAATCTCTGTGTTGCAAGTGCATCCCTGGGTTCTGTTCAGTAAATGGGTAAAATGGGACACTTTAAAGACATGTTGAAGTGATGTTCTCAAAGTGCTCATTTAGGCCACTGCAGGGGATAATGTGTAGTGATCAAGGTATGTGCGAAATCCGATTTGCTGTCCACAACACATGTCGCAACAAAGTAAACCTTAAAATAGCTCGCTTATTTTATATCTCAGTAGACTGCATGATCAATAAGAGTGATGACAATTTTGGCCATATTTAGTTACAGGTGTTTCAAACACAGTAAAAAAGTAACAAACATTTGTACAACTGCTCTACAAAGGGTTAAGGCAGAATTGTCAGTCCATCATCAAGTCTTAAGCTTGCTACAGCTAGGAAGGCGTGGAAATCAGTAGCGCTGCCAAAAGCATGGTAACAAAAATCTAAGAATCAAGAGAGCACATCATTCTCAGCATTATGAGTAAAGCTTGTCGTAACTGTTTTATTCAATAGCAACAATAAATGAGTGCACAAGAGCTACCACACAACTTTACTTCAACCACTGAATGCAGTAAAGTGCAAACGAGTCCATATATCACCACTCAATGCATAGAAGTATCAACAATTACAGATGCGTGACATTTAACTCACTACTTTATTCGGGGCACTGATAACGTTTGTACAATTATTTTACAACATTGTGGTAAAGCAATTGATCTCACCAAGCACTCACATTGAAAAATACTACAATGTAACATAAATAAACAGCTCAAAAATACAAACATAAAACCAAGATTGCCACAAAAATATTCCGATCTTGCAAGAACAGAGCAAATTTCAAAAGGAGCCCTTAAATACGCTTTAATTCAGAGATTTATTTGCACGAAATGCAGACTAGCCAGCAGATGTACATTAAACATAAAAAGGAAAAGCGATATATAAATACTTAGAATTTTGTTCACTCGAAGAATAGAAACACTCCTGATCGCCTAAGCGCATCTCGGTTCTTGCAAGAACCATTTCTGGCAGATGCAGTGTCACCATGTGCTCATGCAGAATTAAGAATAACATTGCAGTTGACAAACCTTTTTGGACATTTATTCTGTTTCCTCTACTTTGAATATTAAGGGGAGACGTGGGTCATGGAAAATTTTACCAGTTGGGCGAACTCAGTGAATTTGCAAGATATTTATTTTTTTCTGCAGATTTCGAGTCCCTAGATATAATTTTTTATTAGCTGTTTTAGAACCACAGATATGTAGTTTGTAAGATAAATTTTTGGGTATTTCTTTCAAAGCAATATTGTAACTTTGTTAAAAACAATGTCTTTGTAAAATTTTGCCAGACAGATGGTCAAGTAATGAGGCCAATTTGTTTGTTTCTAGGAAACTGTGAAGGCAAGTTAGGCAGAAGCAACCATGAGCGCAAAATTTCTTGCTATGTATTATGAAAATTGAGAATTATAATTTGACAAACGATATTATCTGAAAACAACATCACCGGCTATGCCAGCTCACTGGCAATCTTGCCACATACTTTGTTTGTGTTTGAAAAAGCAAAGTTGTCAACAAGCTCCTTAAAGGGTATGCTATATACTCATTAAAAATGGCATTTTACCGTTGTTTCATTGCTACCAACAAAAATCTGCTAATACATTTGAGGTGCACAAACATCTCAATGGGCATATTCAATTTCATTCAGCTCACCATATCATTAGAAAATTTTTTTGAGGAAGCGCTTCTTCGCTTTAGACATATGGACACATTTGCTAAAAAGAAAAGCTCTGAACTTGCAAAACATGCTGCTTTACAGCCTGTTGGTTTGGCGCCGACAGAAAAGGCAATGGCAACAAGCGGACTGAATCTACGCAAAACCTTAAAACTCACAAACCTCATTTTACATGTGCTGTCGTATGAGGGTTAAAATGAAGAGGTGAATGTCTTCCAGCTTGACTACTTGTTTTCCTTGTGGTACATAGCCACAGTGGTTACCATGGCAATGGTACATCTGGCTCAATGGACAAAACAAGCCACAATGTTCCACAATGCAGGCGTTTCGAGCTCTGTCATCAAAAGTGCTGTATTATATAGTGGGCGAGAGAATTGAAGACAGTATTTAGCTATCTTGTACATTGATTTTTTAATGCTGAATAATGCTGATTTTTTAATGCTGACTATGTAGCGCTATCGTTGCATTTTTAAATGTATTTACCTACCCTGTATTTCAGCCAACATACGCTCATAGATACAACACAGGGGTTCGAAAGGTGTTAGACGGCTTTCTTCATATATAACGAACAACACTAACAAAGTTGCCACAAAAACCAGTGATCGAGAAGTAACAAGGGCTCATCAGGAAGTTAAAAGTATGATCACACGCAGTCAAAAAAACTATTCATTGGCGTGTATTCTTAGGCTTTGGATGAGCCGCATGAAACTTACAAGTTGTGTGGCTTGAAAAATGGGCTATGTGAGTGCTGACAAATCAATACAATAAGAGCTTTCTGCAGCAATTCTGTTGCTCAACGTTGAAGACGAGAGCAAAGAGTGGACGAAAGCCTGAAGCATGAAAAAAGTGTTTACACAAACATGGTACTATGTAGTTCTGGTTATAATAACTCCTAATTGATTTAGATCTGAAGTGGGTATGCTCTTCAGTAAAATATAGTTGCACTAGTGAAGAAAACATTACTTTTGTTCCATTAGAAAACAAGCAATATGTCTGCTTAACAAGTGCCTTGTAGTGCCTTCCCATGCTACTTGATCAAAACTGCATGTAAACAAGAAAACAATAAAACTAAAATAAAAATATGAATAAGAGAACAGGAGGAATTTATTGCAATTGAAAAAGCCACAGATTTGCTGTAAAGGCTAAGCAATGCATGCGATAACAACAAATAGGAATGTCACGCAATGATTGGCAAGCAGATTGAAATGTGCCCCACGTTTCTCACGCACAAATGATGCACGAGACATACTCAGAACAACAGATAAATGCGAATAAGTGTCTCAGTTGTTACTTCGCTACGTCTGAAAAGCACGCCCTTTTCACAAACGGAGACTGTGTAGCTAGTGCAATGACGTTTGCACGCCTGGTAACTATAGTGCAAAGAAATAATTCCGGTGAAGGCCCAAGGCGTACAATTCTACTCACTGCGAGATAAGCGCGTGCATGCACGAGGTCAACTCCCCTTCCCCCCTTTCTGCGGGGCTAAGTGTGCAGTTCAGAGGCAAGAAAAGAATCCAAGTGACCTAATGAAACAAGTGCCTGGATTTTTGGTTCCAGACTCTTCATGGTCGTTGTAGCAACACTAATTAACTGCTGGGGTTTTACAAACTGAAACAGAAGGGTGATTACAAGGAAACCTTATTCGGGTACTAGCATTAGATTTTACCACCTAGGGTTTTTAAATTTGATCTAAATCCAAGCGAACTGACAAAGCTCCATTGCGCCTCCTCCTCGAAACATGGCTGGCATAGCCAGGATTCAGTCCTGTTATGAAACTTATGGGTTATGGCCAGAGTTTTCAAAGGAACTTATTACTGTCAAAGTACACCACAAAATCGAGCAGGATCTAGTCGAACGTGCCTTTCAAGAGAGGAGTCAACAGAAATCCCACTGAAATGTTCACTTGTGATGGTGCACGTGCAAGTGCTTAGTCAAGTTCCTTTTTGACAGAAAAGTCTGAGGGCACAAGGGACACTTCTGAGGCTGGCTGCCTGTGTGCTTGTGCAAATGATCTGTCAAGGAGAACTTTCGAGTGAAGCTCTGGGAACACAGGTGGCATTTGTGTGGTCGCTCGCCTTTGTGGCTGCGCAGGTGAACAACCAAAATGTCTTTCCGAGAGAAGCTATGAGGACACAAGTGACACTGAAATGGCTGCTCGCCTGTGTGAACCCTCGTGTGCCTTTTTATACGAAACAAGAGAGCAGTTTCATACTCACAGGAGTTACAGCGGTGGCGGCATCCATGTTGCGACTTCTCACCATCCTTACTTGCTGGATGTGTGGACCATCCCGGCCCTGCACAAAGAAAATCAGACAGGTAAGCTTTGCATCCCTTTCAACAGCACATCTATTTACGCGTTCTGGATGACCGGTTTGCGTGACCAGTTCAACAGAAAGTAGGTAAAAGCGAAGCACCTTCAAACATAGCATAGCCAAGCATAGTATAGTATGTAGCAATGGGCTGGGAAAGAGAACTGAAGGGGAGGTGGAGTGGTGTGAGGGTTAGAAGGAGGGAAAAGGGTGAGAGGGCAATCCATAACATAACCACTTATAACACAGGAAGAAATGGGGAAATAGAGGTCAGGGTGAGGAGGTATTGTGAGGGTTAGAAGAAGGAAAAGGTGTGAGAGGGTAATTCATAGCATAACTATTTACAACACAGCACAGCAAGAAATTGGAAATGGAAGTCAGGATGAGGAAGCTATGTGGGGGTTAAAAGAATGAAAAAGGGTAACAGGGTAATCCATAGCATAACCCGCATAGCCCAGCAAAAAATAGGAAATGGAAGTCAGGGTGAGGAAGTGATGCGAGGGTTATAAGAAGGGAAAGGGGTGAGAGAGTGATCCATAGCATAACTTTACAGCATAGCACAGCAAGAAATTTCTAGGAGGCTTTGAGAATTCTGAATTCCATCATGCATAATGCGCTATACGCAGTTTTTGGATCTCATGTTCTCGGGAGGTTCAAATATCGATTGGCAGTGTTTACTGACCATGCTAAAGAAGTGTTGCAGGGCCGATTTTCATCTTCGCATATTTAAACTCTGAACACAATAGCCAAAACAAGTCAGTTTCACCTCTGAGCACAGATTCGTCCAATCATTTGTGTTACAATAAACTATTACTTATATTTACAATATATATACTCTGTTACATCTCTGGTTCGTTTCTCAACTAGAATGTCTTAATGTATAAGATCTTTTATTCACAAAAGCATGCTCAACTAAAAGTACCTAAATATCATAATGCATGTTACTATGTTAACAAAATGCAATAAAAACTCAATTTAATCCACAAATGCAGTCTGAGCAATGAGGCTGAAAGGAACAGAGTGTCCGTCTATAACAATGCTAAAGAACAAAAAACAAAGCAAACAATACAAAAAGACAACATTAGAAAAGTAAACACAAAGGACAAGACAGGAGGAACCTTATACCTTAAACTTATATTTTTTTAATCAGTTGATGTAATAACACTTTACTACTGTATTCAAAGCCCAAGCAAACATCAGTGTTTCGACCATGCTGAGAGTAACTACAACAAAGAAAAAAACATCAAACTAGCTCGAACATCGATGTGACTCTAGTAGTTCTTTTGAAAGGTACAAACACAAGAGCCGAATAAAAAAACGATCAATCACATGGCACTTCATATAAAATGCAGACACTGCTGAAAAAGAAAGTCAACAAAGTGCAGAAAAGAAAGACACAATCAAAATAAGGAATGCAATGAGAGTTTGGGTATAATTTGAGGCTAATAATATACTATTCTTGACACAAATATATGAAGTACGGTGCTCTTCATCCAACAGTGCCCTCAGGTTCCTTTCACATCCTGAAATAGGAACCTAAAAAGATAAAAATAACATTGCATTACAAACAATGAACTAAGGCAACAGTTATCAGCTCCAAAAACATTGCTATTTATGAAGCGGTTTTTAGAGTGTGGGCAAGGTATGGTTTGACAAATAAATAGTGCTTCCACTGCATGACACGCAACATGTAAGAGTTGTTAGCTGCAAGCACTTAAAGCACAGTGCTGAAAGGAAGACTACAAACCATAAACAAACAGCTACAATCAATTACAAGATACTCTGGGAGCATTGTTCAGGTACCTTCTTAAATTTCACATGTAATTTGGGAGCAAATTAATGGACTTAGTAGACCACAATGACTAAGGCATAAATTATAGGTGAGTTTGAATTCATAACTAAGATGTATATTTGTTACTTTTCGAATAAGGATACATATTCTGAAGATAAATTTTATCGCTGTTTGTCCACTAAAATATTTACTACAATATTCTGGCATTGTAAGAAAGCAGTCTGTAAAATATACTCGGGAGTTTTTCACAGTGACATAATTCAGAACCAAGTTATCAGTCAGACAAGTGAACTACCGTATTCACACTTTGTCTATAACTTTTCATTTGCAGTGTGGTACATTTGGCCAGTTTTCTGGAAAAATATCTCTGAATTCACTGTTATATAAACATTTTTGAGTAGATCGCCGCCATGGAAGCACTGCCAAAGCATTACATGGCCTAATGTGCACACTTTGTCTACAACTTTTCATTCGCAGTGTGGTACATCTGGCCAGTTTCCTGGAAAAACCATCTCTGAATTGACCGTTATATAAACATTTCTGAGTTGAACGCCACCATAGAAGCACTGCCAAAACATTACGTGACTTAATGTGGAATGAGAAAAGCTCACCGATCATAGTAAGTCTGACATGAATAAAATTAATATTTAAAATGTACCATAATGAATGCATCAAATGTCAGTCATAAATAAGCACGCAAAAGCCACCCTAAAGCATTTGTAGGATCGTGAAAGAAAAAAAATTGCAACTGAGTTGACACATAATAATGAAGGAAAAATGCAGCTGTCATGGCTAAAATGTCGAAACATAAGAAAATGAAGAAAGAGACACTAATGCTAATAATAAATCCTCAGTGAATAAGTCAAGAGGGCACTTTTAGAAAGAGAGTACATGATGTCAACGTATGTTTTACTAGTGCACTTGAATATGACTGCTTAAGTATTAAAACTAAGTTGGCGGAGTCCACATATACCTACATAGAATGGGTGGTTTCATGGATGATAGAAAAGCTCAGTTTTGCCTGGAGAGCAATTTTTCAGTTTCATAGACAAAAGCTCACTTGCTTGAAGCATCTGTCAGCATCGGATAGCACATTGGGATGGATACAGGATTTTTCTGAAGAGGAATTAGCTTATGAGAAAACCTCAAATCTCCTCTTTCGAGTTACACATTAGGAACATTAAAGGGGCGGATGACAACGTTTGAATTGCCCTTCTGAGCTTGGAAGGGATAGTGGATGAAATGATTCAAAATTACGCAGCATGAAGCAAAACATGCGCAAAGCATCTGACTAACGGTACATTTTGAACTCCGTGATCAAAAACAAACTAGAAACAACTTGCTCCAGCACAATCGGTTCATTTCGTGAAAATCAGTGAGAGACCCAAGCTAAATGTCCTAGCGTGCAACTGTTATCGCATTGTAATACACGGTGAAGACGTCCATCGCTGTGCAGGCATGTGCGAGCAGCCTCAATGCACCTTTGAAGCTTTTACGCGAAGTATGTGCATGCCAGCAACGAAAGTGAAAACTGCCTTTTTGAAACATAACACACAACAGTGGTCCCCGATGTTGTCACACACCGCACCCGCCGAGAACGGCGAGCACAAACATGGCATTAGCTATAAGAAGTATAGCTGGAGCACTGGAACGTTGTGCTGCTTTTCATCGGCTGTGAGGAAATATGGCGTGGCGTTTAGTGTCCAACAAATCTTTTTTTTTTGTCACATCCCAATTTCCTCAATTAGCCCAACACAGCATACAAAAATGTGTCAGCATTGCTGTTCCCATCAGCCACCACATGCATATAAGTGTGTACCATGTTGTCACACGCAAAGCGCAGTGACCTTTAACACGATGGCAATGCACATGACAGCCGCTAGATTGCAGATCTACAATGCAGACATGAAAGTTAAAGCCCGAACAATGAAGTTAGTGATAAAAAAATGAGCCAGAAATTCATTTATAGTGCACCACGACTAGGAAAATAAATCCTTGCCATACATGCATATGTGCACATTGATGGTTAACAAATGACATTATGAGCTATTAAACACTGAATGGCTCCTGACAACTACACTTGATTTCAAGGGGCATTTTCGCTCGAACATTCAACACGAATCGTTTTATAAACTTGCCCACTGATGTTTCAATAAATGGAACAAGACAGACTGGCCAAAAAGTCGAACAACCTTTATGTAGCGTGTGAAGAGCGGCAACCAAGTCCCTGCTACGATTTTTCGTGCGAGAAGGCGACACTCAAACATATGCCAGTGAATCGCATGCACCCTCCAAATGACGGAGATTGCCGGCTCGTTTGATCTCTACTTCAGCAATGCTGGCCCGCTCTTCTCTAGTGCTTTTAATAGCATGTAGAACACACAGTGGGCTGCGCAGTGTTATCGTTTTGGACTTTATATAGAGCATGTCGGAGATGGCAAAAATCCAAGATTGTCTGTCTAACTGTTCTCACAATAAAATTGTTAACTGCTACATAATTATGTTAATCACTGGAAGGAGTGAATAAGTTATGTCGTACCATGCTTTCAATCAGTATTTGCAAACGATACATCATGGGCGTTGAAGGGTTAATGCATCTAAAATCTATTTTAGAAACAAGTAACAGTATTTAAATATCTGAACACTCATATGTTGCAACACCACATATCAAGAACAACCTGTAGTGCACAGTTACTGCTCAGGCCCCAATACTGAAGGAAAAACAGGATGCACCTTATAAAGAAACTGAATAAAAAAATTGGCCCGTATATGCATGTTAATCTGCAAATTTCGTCTAAAGATGATAGTCTTACGTGTGGAGAGAGTGAACAAAACATTTATTTGATGTCTTACAGAAGAAAATCGGTGAATGGTATTCTAGAGCACAGCGTTAGAGTGCCTTGAGCGTGCAGTGGAGGTGAACGAGCGCATCAAATCACGTCATTACGCGAGACATGAGTGCCATCTGGCAGTTTTCTGGGAAAACGAAGCTCGTGGCTCTGAGACGGGTGTGCACGCCCGTCTCAGAGGTGATAAGGTGTAGAAGGCGAGGTGATGGGTAGGTGCCACCACCGTCTCATCTCAGTAGAGCGTTGGAAACCCTCGCTTTTTCGTGCAAGCGTTGCATGGTCAGCGCAGCGTGATAAGCGCTACGGACCTTAAAATTACTTATGTATGCCTTTGCTAGTAAAAGACGCACATGCAATTTATATACGTGTTATGGTGCCCTAGACATGCATAATAATTGCTTTTAAATTGACAATTGCACAAGTATGAACGCTGAAACTTGAGCAGCATTGGTGGGCGCTGCGGATGGGGTCGACCGTTACAAGTTCCCGGTGTTGTTAAAAGTGGACAAACAGACAAGTGTACAGACAGACAGACCAAAATTTTTGCGTCGAAGGTCCCCAAGAAAGAAAGACAAGGAACAAATGCGAATCCCCTAAAAAGGTCAAGCGCGGTCAAAGCCTCAATTACACCAAGAATTTCTTTCAAGCAGTTGTGTTAAAAAAAGAACTTAATATTTGAAATAAAACAAAATACATCACTACTTCATTAAAGTTTACACAGTCCTTAAAGCACATGAATAGTAATGATACGGCTCGAAGAAACTAGCCAACCTACAAAGACCTAGAATAATAAAGAAATGCCTACTAAAGATTGCGACAAATCAAATTGCAAACAAGGCACACAAGCTGCTAAAACGACAAGCAGAAAAAATGCAATAAATTTATAAAATGTACCCATAAATGAAAAAAGACATGACCAATTCAAAATTAAGAATTTGAAATGTAATGCAGTTCATCCAATAGTGTCTTCAGATTTCTTGCTCCTTGCTTCTCATGCACCTTGAGTGAGGGAGACGCAGTACCACAAACAATAAACTAAAATACAAGAGCTATCAACCCCAAAGCATTGTTATATGCAATGCAGCTTTGAAAGTTAATATAAAGTTTTCGGCAAGCTATATTTCAGCAAAGAAACTGGTTCTTATTGTAGTTAATTATTTTAAGTGTAACTTATACACAGTCTATTTGAACACACTGAAAGTACTGTGCTTTTCGTATTCACTCGAACACTGCACGACTAGTCGAGCAATTTGTGAAAGCTGATTAGAATGTACACGATATATAACCCTACAGTAAATCCTGAACACATAACAAGGGTCTCTGGTCAGATGCTGCAATGGCATTATTCATGCACGTTTTCATACTTCACACTCAGTTTAACAACAACTTTGTGGGACGATAGGTGCATACTGGCTATTGGGTTCATAGAAACTTAGAAGCAAAAAAGAAATTCAAGGGTTTTTAATTACTTTCAAGCCCTTGCGAAGATTTTTGAAAACTTGAAACGACACTTGTCAAGATCGTAAACCATCTTCAACAGCACAAAAGCACATCTTTCACTGAACACAAGCCAAATACTAAACAAGTTTTCAACATTCCTTTCCTTGTTGATATTTCGCTCACTCCTGCTTTCATTGCGTCGCACTGGTTTTCTGGAGGTTTAAGTATTCTTCTGCTGATTCGCTTAAACTTATTCACCTCAGAAAATGGTCTTATGGCACACACGCCCACATACACTTACAAAGAGATGAGGAGCTCTTCCCCAGAGCCGCAAAATAAAATCCTCGTTAATACTCTATTCAAAAGCACGTTTGTGCAATTATAGCCTTATCAGTTTAAAGTGAACGGCAATTAGCATGGTATAATTGTGAAGTGAATTCGAATAGTGAAAGGACTTCTATAGTGCCAGGATGCAAATTATACGGGACTCGGCAACAAGGACTTTGGGGCATTTGAGAAGGCGGGGTTAGGTAGGTTTCAGAGGGGAGAGGGTACAACCCCCTATACCCCCCCCTGGTCGGTGGGCCAATGCACATACACTAAGGCCACATTTGGCAGGATTGGTAAAAATATAAGTAATAAAGCTACATTCTTATTTCCATCTAGCTTTTACAAAACAGGCATCCTGCGTAAGGCAGAACTTGTTCGTTATGTTATTGACACTTATCAGGCATGCAGCCATTGGAAAAACATTGCATAGATGCAAAAATCCACAAAGGAAACTCACAAATGAAAATGAAAAGCAGAATGGGTTCCATGAGAAAACCTCACAAAAGTGCAGGTCACACTTAAATGACAGTACAGGGACAAATCCCAGTCAATTAAACAATTAGGAAGCATTAAACAAAAGATGCAACGAGTGAATGGACACATGAGCTGTGAACATTGAATACGGTTCAATAACGAGGCACGTGATCAAAGGGAAATGCTGCGTACACTCGAGAAGGGCTCTGCTATACTACTTACGACATTACCTTGGGTGGAAGAAGAAATGTAAACTTTCTTGACATTAGATCGGTGCACAGTAGCACATGTCATGCGTCTAAATGGAACGGAATGAAAAAACTTTATTTGTGATGCATCTAAACATCCCTATCTTTCTTAAGTAGATATGCTACGAAAACGCTTTGGGATTAAGACATGCCACATGCACAAATACTTTCACAACCGATTCCTATCCATTGATGTGCCGACACAAACACTCTCCGACTACGACAATGCACTTCACATCTAAAATGTGGAGTCAGTCAGAATGAAGAGGTTGTGTTCTCATTAGAGTCGATACATTTGATAATTCAGACACTCACTGAGTCT